TTATGTGAATAGCAAAAATCTGACATAAAGCTATATACACACACTTGCAGCTCGGATTTGGGCTCTCTCTAGCCCTTGGTAGACAAGTAGGCTAAACGATTTTTTATTAACAGTGCATTGAAAGGAAGTCCCACTCGGATTTTCATAACTTGCCACTAGCAGTCAGTCCCTCTGCTTTTATTTACGGCTAAAAGTCCTGGGCAGAGTCAGGGCACAGTGGAACAAGGGGAGAGCAATTGGCAGAGCTCAGCTGACGCAGAGTACTCTGTGGCGTTTTTCAAAGGACGATCAATTGGAAAGGACTTGCTGTTAATCAATCCGAAACAGATACACGGCAGTTCCCCACAGAGCACGCTACAATGCGAAACAGCTTCTCAGAGCAGCAGGCTTTTGCGGAGGGGGTTTGGGCAGGCAGTTTTTCTCTTAAGCCAGCATTTCTGACAGCTGCCTCGTATCTTTTTCCCAGACCTGTCACATTAGTTCTGAGAGATATAAATGTCTTCTCTCTTTTGCTCCTTAACCACTGCACAATCTTTCAATTTTTTAAGCAAAGAAAGATAGAAGCCATATTTTACATCATCTGTAGCTGAAACTGGAGTTTCTCCTGTACAAGGAAATGGTTTCTTGTTATCTGAAGATGACATCTCTATTTTACAATATAAGCCTCCGTCTCTTTTTCTTTCAGGTCTCTTTACTCCCCCCATCTCAGAAACTGAACTTACCCAATAGCTTGCAAAGAAAAATACCCAAAATAAAGATGGGTTTGCTCTGTTTCTGGGCGACCAACACCCCTGAGACCCCAGGTAGTATCACACTGGCTAACTGAAGACGGAAACAAGCACCGTGATCGTTAAGTGGGAAGAGAGGATGCAGCCCTAGCCTTGGTGCAGAAAACCCTTGCCACAGCTGTCTGCTGTTCAAGACGGGGTTCACAGGGATGGTCTGTTTTGAGTATGGGAAATTATGTTGCATGCATGTTTATTTGGCTTTTTGGTGGTTTGTTTGGGGCTTTTTTTCCCCTTACTAATCTTAACCATCTCGGCTCTCTTGCATTACCCTCTCTACCTGTAAAAGCATTTGACAAAACTCCCTTGATGCAGGGCTGATACGAGAGGGCACAGTGTGCCCTCTCGTAATAACTCACAGAGAAAGCTGAATGTGTCTTCTTTGTACTTACCTCAAACTGCCTCTCCCTTTCGAGGGCACACTGTGCCTCCCTTAATAACTCACAGAGAAAGCTGAATGTGTCTTCTTTGTACTTACCTCAAACTGCCTCTCCCTTTCTCCAGAACAACGTATCCCCAGGAGTGGGGAAAAGCCCGTATGCCAGTAACACAGACCTACGCAGACAGGAGAGAAAGGCCCTTGTTCCCCAAGAACATCAAGGGGATGACAGTTCATGCACACGGTGGGAATGGCAAAGGCAATATAGGTCTGGACTACTGTGGAGGCTGGAGGAAGGAGGAGATCAAAGACCAGCCATGGGAACTGGCTGGTTCAGCCTGGAGGTGCCTCTAAGTCGGTAGAGAGAACTGCACGCTGGCGAGGGCTCCCGGTGACTCCTTCTCACAGAGGCTCCCTCTGCAAGTGCAAAAGTCCCCGTTCCTCAAAGGCATTTAGGCACAGGGCGAGGGCTACGAGGTACTCCTCGAGGTTAACCACATTGCCTTCACGGAACAACCTCAGCAAGCCCATGTTAGAGAGAGTGCAGAATTCAGATGCTCCCTAGGGAGCCAGAGCAATAGAAACGCAACGGGAAGATAGGTTCCCACCCCTGCCATGAGTGAACACAAACAGAGAAAAGTGCAAGAAGCCCGCGGGGCTACGTTGTCTTCAGTCCTGTCAGTTATGAATGTGACAGCTGAGACCTTTCAAGACTGCCAGAGGAGGGAAACCAAGGCACTCCAAATGCCAGGTCTGTCAGCAGCGTAATTAACATGTCATGTAGGGTCTGCTCAGAAATGCAGCACCTACTGCACCTCCAACTGCCAGACTATCAAAAATGCTGCTCGGCTGGTAATTCCTGCACCTCGCAATAATGTCCAAGTTACTGCAAAGCCAAGAAAAAAGCAAACTGTAGTGTTTGGGAAGACAGAAATCAGTTTGTATCCTATGGGAGAAAGCAAACTGACCTACCCCAGGGGGTGTCTCTTGGTGCTCCAGAGGAGTGTCACTGGAAACGTACCCAGTCGTACTTTTAGAAAAGCACATGGGCAAAACACCCAAAACGAAAAGGGTGGAGGCGAGCTCTGCAGGGAATTCACAAACCAAGACAGGTTTGGGGACCTCAGCAGCTGGAACACACTCCCCTGCAAGAACCAGATTGAGGCAGGTGGCATCAAGTGCCCAGTTAACGGGAGAATTTCTCTCCACCACCTCTGGCAGCATACCACAGGTAAACCTACAAATGCAGAGCGACAAGTGATGGAAAGGAAAACCCCATGTTGCGCAAGCCAAGCTCACGCAGAGCGGCGTGGCAATTCTCTCCCTCCGCAGACAAACCGGATGCGCGTGGTTTAGTGCAGGAGGGTCCTAGTATAGGTAGGATAATCGGGTATCCACGGCTGATCCCTGACAGACAGATCAGGGAAAGGCCTGGAAAGGGAAACTCAGAGACTGAGGTCCAGGTGTTATTGTAGGGAATGATGGACTCACAAGGACAGGGTGAAACACAGGGAAAGAAGAGAAAAAGCAGCCATGCAAAAAAGGAAAAAAGAGCTTCAAGAGTGGTAAGTCTGTTAAAAGAGCAACTTTTTACTGTAACAATTAGCAGTGAAGACATACATCAAAGTTTTATCTACAGACTAGCAGAAAATTTAAAATCATAACCATATAAAAATAATCTATGTCTGCACAACAAATATATCATTTCCCCTCCTCTTTCAGTTTGACTTAGAACGATGCCAGTTAAGGATATCTTACAAACCACAAAGAATCTTAGTTAAGAAAGTATTTATGAAGGTGGCTTTCCTTGCAAATTTTTCTTTCTGAACAAGTGATCTGGTAAAATACAACCACAGAACTCTTCAGTGATACCACCGACTCCTTACATTTAGAGGACCTGTGGAACAGTTCTTTTCTCAGCATCCCAAACAGAAAAGACAACAGCCCTGTGGGCAGCCCACCGGTTCCATTAAAGGACAGCTTTACCAGGAATTCCCGCATCGGAACAAAGGATGAAGAAGTGAGATGGACACCTTGTACTCCTGATCATTCAAAAGGAGTTTCTGAGCCATGCAAAAAGCTCCTGCCACCCCGATCAGATGGCAGTAAAGGCAGGAGATAGCACTATCTAAACAGACGTTCCAAATGCTTTGGAGAGAAATAGTTACATCCGACAGGAGGTTCTTGCTGAGATTACACTCAGCTGTGGGAACGAGCCCAGAGACAGAACGCATTTGGCTAGATCAGTTTTTGTCAAGATCTGTTAGCGGGACAGGAAAGGAATAAAATTGCCCTGATAATGAAAATGGTCTCTTTGGCAGCTCTGTGGTAAGTAGTATCTATCATGAATCTCTGATTCTTTGTGCTCTGGCTGCTACTGCAACTCCTCCGGGATGGTGTTAACGTACCATTTCTCCACGGCTCCTACTTATCTCAGGCAGTCTCTGCTGCAAACAGGGTTTTGCACTACTGGCCTGTAAAACTTCTTGAATTAACTGATAAGGAAGCGTTTCAGCCAAAATCACAGCAGGTCCACGATTCTGCCCAGATGTTACCATAAAATACGGGTCAAGCGCGCTATAGGCCATAGGGTGAAGGATGAGTCCAGGGTTTTACCGAAGCTTCGTTACAGAGACACGTGAAAGTTGACCACAGCTTCATCGTTCAGGAAAAGCACACTCATCTCGCGCAATCAAAACCATCAAAAGCAGTCTCACAGAAAGGGGCATGTATTTTTAAAAAGGCATATTTAACTAAGGACTAGCACCAGGCAAAAGACAGGAATAGTTAAGAAAGTCAGACAGCAGCAGAGTTTAAAAAAAAACCAACAGTAACAATTAGCACTAGCTTATATTTTCAAAACATTTTACAAAAATATGAGTTAATTAAGCCTCACAACACCCTTCTGAGATAGGTATTATTAGTCCCATTTTAGAGAGAGGGAAACAGGCACGGAGAGAGTGTCACCTGCTTACCACAGATGTCAAATCCAGGAGCAGAACTGATTTTCCAGTTTTCTGCCACACGTGGTCTGACTACATAAAAAGATGCTGGTCTTTAAATAAAACGGGTTTCCTCTCATCCCTTTTAAGACATCTGACCCCCTTTCAGTTGGATATGAATAGGTACGCGCCAAGCGCTATTCACGATAAGCAAGGCAACGTAGGAGATGACATCTTTTATAGACTGTGTGTCACCAGAAGCTGTTTAAGAGAAGACTTGACACGGGTGCTTCCCCACTGCCACAGAGCTGTCGCTTCTCACCAGGCACCTGCCACCAGGAAACTCACCGAGGCCTACATACAATGCTGATATGGCTCAGAGCCTCAGAGCCTGCAAAAAAAAAATGCAAGGCCTGGCTTCTCGGCCATCTCTGAACAAGGAATCTCTCTCTGGCAGGGAGTCTTCTCTGAGAAGAACCCGTATGAGTACAGCTGTACTGAAAGCAAAGACTTTCATCAGGAGACTCCCGAGGTACAGCTAAGGGTGCAGATGGATCTCTTGGAAAACCTGGAAATGCTCATTTCTTGTGCTCTGTGTTAAAAAGGATGGTCAGGAGGTATTAGCCATCCTGGGGGTTAGAAAATAACTCTCCGTAGTCACTTGGAGAAGACAAGTTCACTTGTCTTGCACTGAACTAGTCAGTAACAGACGAGGATTACAAATTCCAAACCACCTGAAAATACAAGTCAACAGATTGAATTATAAAATGCCAAACCTGGCAGATCTGCTGCTGCCAGACCCAGGTGTTAGTGGAGACAGAGAAACAGAACCAGTCCTTCCATCTTCGGTTACAATGCCCATTAGACACAACCTAGAGTCCAGGAAGTTAAGTTTCAGGACAGCTCGAGCTGAAGATCCTCCCCGTACTTCTGGATCAGCTTCATGTGGTTATGGTCCACTGACCACCGCTCCGGGAGGTGCTGGGGCTGCATGCTGTCCAAGAAATGTTGCCGCCAGCGCCTCTCCAACTGCATGAGGGAGCGCAGGCCTCCTTTAGCAAAGCACTGCACCACCTTCCGTCCGTGTGGCATGTAGGTCTCGTTGCAGATCCTGCCAGGGCACAAGCAGAGTTTATTTTCACAAAAGCCCGCTGTCAGACTCTAGACCTGTCTACAATGAAGAGCAAGACACTGAAGATACTTCCAGCTGCGGAGTTTAATTACAGACACATGGTAAGCTAACCAGGAGAGTTTTAAGCTTTTCTTCAATCCCAGACTGCTTTCTGGTACAGTTACACTGGGAAGCTCATTGGTCTGAACTGAGAAAGTGTTCTTCTTTTACAGCAACACTAAACAGAGCTCTCAAGGTCCATTGCAAGCTCCTCAGGAGACAGGCTGCCAATTTCTCAAGGCAAGAACCCTATGACACTCCAAAGCCCCGATCCTGCCACTGAATTCCCTGCCTGGATAGGTTCTGAGTTGTAACATTGGCACATTACAAACAACAGTGAGCATAACAAGGAGAAAATCCTGAATTCATGCAGACAGAGCCCAGCTACTAGTTAAGAAAAGATATTTGGGGAGACTTTGAGAATGAGGAAAAGAGGAGGCTTCTGATATGATGGTCTTTCACTCTCCCTCCCTGATCTGTCCTTCAAAAGACATATTATAAAATAGTGGAGTGGAATATGAGAGCAAGAATGGAAGGAGATTGCTGGAAGACAAAGGGAAAGAGAGGAAGAAACAAGAGCTGCAGTTCACAGGCCACTGCTGGGCTGAGGGGAGAAGGGGGTAAACAAAACCAAAAACAATAGTGTGCTTGTCTGATCAAACCTTAGGCTACAGCAGACAGTTATCTTCTTCCTATCCTTGCTTTCTGGCTAAAGGTATCAAATTAGTATAAATCCAGGCTCTGCAGGCTTATACAAATGATGAAGTTATGCTTTTAGAGGCTTGTTTTTCCTGTACAGATCAACTCCTAATAGTCTCAGACACTCTTTAATTTGATCCCACTATTTTAGGAAAGATACATCAATATCCCAAGAGGGTTTTGTCTTCTTTTCATTAAAAAGCTGGAGGGACAGGAGGGAAATCAGCATGTGTGACCCCCAGCTCTGCAAATGCTGCAGAGCATAGGCAACTTTTTGTTGACCTTCTGCATCAACGTAAACGACTACAACATTACATCTACTGATGGGCTTTTGATACCTGGTTTCCAGACCAGCTGCCTCCTGGAGCATCTCCGGGGTGACTGCCTCTGAGTTAAAGAAGTCCTTGATGATCTGCAGAAGCTCTGCCCTTCGGGGGTCAGGAAGGCTGTCTGCGTTCAGCAGTGCTCGGGCCGCCGAGCGCACTTGCCTGCGCAGAGGGTCCTCCAGCAGATGCACATCTTCCTCGGAGTTGATGGGAGCACTGAACTCCTCAGCCAGCTGCAGCTTGAGATGGTTGTCGTAGTTATTGGAGATGGCATGGCAGGACGTGCAGAGTAGGAGCACGTCATGGCAGTTGTGGTCCTTCATCTGGATGGGGAAGTGTCTTCGGTATTGGTGGGGAACAATGTTCTTCCTAGGGAAGACAAACCAGTCAGCTCATTCACTTGCTCAGAGATGCTACTCCCCAGTTCCTCCTCCTCCTGGCCCACAAAGGGTCAATATTAAATGTCCAAGAAAACAAAGATCACCAGGGTCAGGACACTCAGTGCAGCAACAGGTTCTGCAACTTCTTTTTATTTGTACTTCTCTTCATAGTTTTTCCTCCATTTTTCCTTTTTTTTTTTTCTTTCCAAAAATTCATTGCTTTCAATTACAAAAAAAAGGCAATTCATACGGTCAAAAAAAAGGCAACTCACTATGAGAAGGTCTGATCTCAGCTAAACAGCAGCAGCTGCAAAGACAAAAATCTCACCCTTTTGTGACCTCACGGGCTTCAGGCTCACCTAAAGCTTTCAAAAACATAAAGTTTAAGTAGTGGAAGGAACAGTACAGCTATTTTAAAGAAGGGAATGCCATCAGAACGGTGTGTGTTGGCACACCGCTACCGCTGTTACTCCAATTGCACCTCATGCGTGGTCCATACCCTCTGTTCTCTCGAAGGATTGGTATCTCCTGCCTCTGGAAGAAGAGGGAAGGCTGACCTGTTCAGTGTCAAACTTACCCAGACACGTACAACTACAAAGCCTTCAAACAGCGATAGCCCATCCAGGACGTGAACAACCATGATGTTTCAGGCCATTAACCAACGTTCTGGATGCCAAACTAGAGGCAGACCTGTCTCGTTTTAAAAGATGTATTTTTCTTCTATCCCACTAAACTCACCGAATATAGGAGTCTTGCTTGCCACATACAACGCACAGGTTCTCTTTGACTGTCAGATAATAATCACCTTGAGACTCGGGACGTCCTGAAGGCTCAAACGCCAGCTTCACAACAAAAGGGTCTGTGCTAACCAACTCTGAAAGGGTAAAGGCAAATAGTGAACATTCCAGGCAAATTTGTATTTGAAAGCTAAAATAACAATACTAAAACATAGGAGTGACTCTCCAACAGTATTTCCAATAAGAAAGGACACAAAAAATCCATGTCCAGTTATCTAAGAAACCAGGCAAAAAGCGCTGTATCTGAAATGCCAAGAGGAGAATGGATATGCTCACCTCCAATCCCTTTGTCCAGATACCACTGAGCCTTCTTGCGATCACAAGTGCACAGGGGCTGTCCGTCCGGCGCATGCAGGAAGCAGTTGTCATACAGCGGAGATTTTCTATGAAGCAGGGGCAGCATTACAACAACTATAACAGCATGCCAAAAACCCCAGAGCTCTCTACAGCCCTGCGTTCCACACTGCAATTCATGCAGCCTCCTCCAAATCACAGGAGCGCCCCTAAACACACACTTCAGGCTGCTGAGCACTGCACAGGCTGCTGCTAAGGGAAGCAGAACATCTGAAAACCTACCTGGGGTTCACCAACTGACTGTGAGGTTTCTTTGCTCTCCTGCTGCAACAGAACTGTAACTCTGAATCCCGGTTTTCAAGAGATGCCATCAATGGTGACAGCATTAAAAAACAAAAATCACATTTGAAAACAAAAGATAATTGAAGTCTAGAAGAACAATGAGCTAACAGTAAGCTAAAAGAGAGTGTCAACTTACAGGCAAGGCAATTTCAAGGATCAGCTGCCTAAGTCCACATTTTAATGTTTTATTAAGTCAACTTTTCTAAAATCTTAGTGTGAACAGCAACTACTTCATTCATCCAAGAGAAAATCTACAGAAAAGCTCTTGGCACGCTGGGAACCCAAACACGTGTCCGTGGGAACAATGAAGCTGAGCTAAAGCCCTCTGAAACACAGGCACCTAACCTTAGTAGCGAAAAATCCTGTTTGAGTGGCCTCTGGTGGTTTGTGGCCGTGTGTGGAAGGGATCTCTTTTGTAGAAAACGTTTCCTTACACTGTCAACCTCCTTCGAATGAAACTGAAGAGCTAAGCAGGCTCTGCTGGGCTGGGGGAGCACCTGGAGGAACTTGCCAGAGGTACACGTGTCAAAAATACACTGTGGAAGTTTCCTTTCTTTCCAGCAAGATCATATAAATAAATACTCAGCAGAGTTCTACCAGCTAAAGAGGTTCATTCACAGGCTGTGTAATCTGAAAAAAGGATTTCTTCTGAGGTCCGTGGGGTAAAAAAACCCAAACAACACAGCAGTAATGTCACAGGTCTTCTTCCAATGAGCATCAACAGTTCAGCTGATCACCATGATCATCTGAGTTCTTCCCAACACTAAATGAACAAACATTAAAACTAAACATGCCTAAAGAAAGGAAGAGTGGAAAAGTATTTTTGGAATCACATCCAGGCTTGTTACAGACCAGAGCCAGAGTGCTGGAGATCCTGTAAAAATCAGTGAGTCCATAGATTTTCTCACAAAGTCAAGTGCGGTTAAAAATAATAAATAAACAAACACGGGGAGATCTCCATTTAGCTTGGAATGCAATTTTTTTTTAAATTAATCCTCCCCATGAGGTGTAGTCCTTCTGTTTTGCACGATACAGGTTCCAACTGAAAAAAATAAATCTGAAGGGACTTGCTGTGTACAACACAATACTGTTAATGACTGCTAATGAAATCAATATTATTGACTGCATTAAAACGTCTTCATTGCCAATGCAATATACTTGAAAAGAAGAAAACAAATATTAAAATTACAGTCTTTCTTTCCAAATGGTAATTACAGACAATTTTACTTCCTCCATCCATGTGATTAATTTCATTAGATTTTACCCCAACAAAACCAAACATACCAGCTCTCTGTGTCTTCCACTGTATCGAGCTTTAAAAGACTTCTCCAACTTGCTTTAAATTTAAAACCAACTGAGCATTCATTAGCAAAAGGAAGTAAGAATTTAGGATTTGCTCCACAAAAACCACCTGTGGGACAGGGATCCCAAATCCAGCAACAGCTGCCCCTGGAAGGCCATAGCAGTACCGTACCCTCCTCTCCGTCCCTGGACAACACAGAAGTGCAGTGCTTTGATGCTTTCTGTGCCCTCTGGCACCTCACAAAGCCTCTCTCAGCCCTCCTAATCTTGGCTTGCAGCTCTGCTCAGGGCCCTGACATCTCTGTGGCCATAGTGATCTGGAGCAGCATGGCACAAATAGCAGTCTCTGGGGCAGATCCTGCCCACGGGACGCGCTCTATTCAACTCCCCCTTTCCTGTGGAGGAGACAGAGCACAGCTGCTGGAGCAGTAAATGCCACCGAGACAGCCAAGCACCTCCTAATGCAACTTTGCTCTCCAGCTAATGCCTCCACTGGAGAAGGAAGGGCACAGAGTGAAGACAACCCCTCAACCTGCTCATGACCTAGCACAGATCCAAGTGCTGCTCCCACTTTCAGCATCACCTAGAGGGAAATGGGGAAAACAGAGACAGGCATGACTGTAGGGTCCGGTGTTTCCTTTCCTAACTCGTTCTAGACACTTTGTTTAACAAGCAGAGGATGAGGCACCATTTCAAGTTTTCCGTCTGCGGCACGAGGAGTACAAGGAGCTCACAGACTAACCTTGCAGAAGGCTTTCGCTTCTGCCTCCATCGAACTCTCGCTTGATGACTGTCAGAGGACTGGCCATTCACCAGAGATTTCCGATTCTTTGTTTTCTTCGGGGAGCATCCCTTCCTGCTCTTCTCTCCTGTGCTGCCACTCCTTCTTCCTCTAAACGGGACATCCACTAAGCCCCGGCATTTAGCCAGTGCTTTTTCCCAAGCAACGACAGAGTTTTCTAATTCAGATGTAGCAGGGAAGCTGGCAAATCCCAGCAAATGGAAGAACAGAGCCACTGAGATCTGGGCATCCTTAGCAGCATAGAGAACCTGCAGGAAAGAGTAGGCACCGAGATACTGACAAACAGCAAACGCTCCCAAACATTATCAGTCTTTAACATGAGGTAGAGTAAAGCCAGCTGCTGAATGTATTTCCTTCGGAAGCTCACGCAAATGCGGGCAGTCGAGTGACACTTTCACCACACCCACATTTTTAGCGTCAGCCAGACTTGAAATACCCTTGGGTGCTCCCAGAAACCGCAAGGGACCAAAAAAATTCAGGTCAGCCAGGCCTCAAACACCCTCCTATCCCACAAAAAACTCCCCACTACCACCCCTTAATTTTAAAAAAGCTCCGTTTGGACACCCTGTGTAACAATATTCAGTGTGGTTATTTATCCTGCCACTCCCTCTACCGGCCACTGATTCTGTAGACATCTGCACCATGACTGAAAAGAATGTGAGCCATTAGGGAAGCCATAATGGTCTAAATATGGTGAACAAGGTTTCTAGGGTCTCTCTCTAATATTTCACTGACTGCTACAGATTGGAGGAAAGAAAATAATAAAAATGTGAGGTTTTGAGTGCACAAACACTTCTTCAAGGGATCTTGCCTTACAGATCTTTCAGGACTAAAGGAAAACAAGGGTAAAGCATCCAGGGAGAAGAGCAGAAAACTATCTTCACAGAAGAGGAGGGAAATGCAGGCACAGCCTGAAATTAACTTGAGACCACAGTCACACGTAAGGTTTTGAGGCATAACTTGAAGCAGGCTCAGGTCTCCCTGTTGTAAGCCTCTTCTCTACTAAGAAGCTTGTTTTTCCTCCCAAAACACAAAGTCAAAGTGGAAGACGCACCTGATCTTGTGTCAGTTCTTCTGCCTCCCAGTTGCTGCAACGCACATGAGGAGACTTGTCAAGTGGGCAGTCAAGGACTTTTTCAGCTAAAGTCTTAAGGCTGAGGCTGTCATGAAGTAGATCCTTCCTTCAGTTTAACAAAGAAAGTGAAACAAACAGATTAAAAATTAAACTATACACCCATGCAAATTCGGACGGCCTCGTACACCCTGAACCTGCCAGAACACAATGTGCATGATGCATGACTTCCACCCAAACTGCACACATCTGCCTGTCAGTTTTACAGGCCTCCCCCTTGCTAAAATGTCCTTTTAGATTGAGTAATTACCTAGTGTCTGCAATACGCAAAACAGACGAGGCTGGGAGTTGGCAACATTTAAGGCTGAAGTGTTTGTCTCTGAACTACCCAGTTCTGAACTAAAGAGGTCTATCATGGAGCGATGGACCGCCTGCTCCAGGAATTCATGAGGAGCATGAGAGCCAGGAAGGACTCAGAGGAATCCTGGCCACTAGAGACAAGAAGTCCTTCCTCAGTACTAAAGAGGAATCATCAGGTCTGTAAACCCATGCACCAGATCACTACCAACACACCCAGGAATGCAGACACTGTACGTGAAGAATATTCCTGAGTAAAACAACTTATCTTAGGAAGATTGATGGAGGAGAAAATACTGTCATAACTGTAACCTTTTCCTAGAAGCATTGTTAATGGAAGAAAAAATTAAAGCTGGTTTGTTTTAGTCACTTTTTCAAGAAATCCTGCAATTCAACAGTGTGTCCCTGGCACATTTACCCCACACGTCTAGGCAGCATATTCAAACATCTGATGATCACTCTCATTGCGTTACTTCACGATGCCTGGACTTCTTACAAGCTGAAGGATGATACTCAGAGAAGTCCACATGGGTATTGCGTGAGAAGACTAACAGTTAGCATATGGAATCTTAAGACTACAGAATAGAAGCACGATGTGTTCTTGGGTTGCAGCTCTCAATGCCCGTGCCCTAAAACCACCTTGAGAACTCCAGACCTGCCTGCCTGGTATCATTCAGCATATGCAAATTACTTCTTAAAATATTTCCAACTCAAAACGATGGCTCAAACAGAGCTGCCCCTGCCTTCAGACACTCACCGCTGTCTCATGGCTATATACCGGACATCCACGGTCCCTCTGACTGGAAGACCATAATCATCAAGTAACTTGCAAGCATCTTCCCAGCATCCTACCCCAAATTTCAACACAGCACTGTCTGCCATGATGTTCAACAGGGTCTTTGGGATAGTCTGTCCACTGGCAACAAGCCTGGGCAACCGAACAAGAATGCAGAGGCCGCTGGGAGAAGCTATCTGTAGAAGGGATACAGGATTTGGTCTGCCCTCCACAGATACCTGCAATGAAGACAAAAGGCAGAGTGTGGGTTACAGTATTATTAGCAGTACTGAGGCTGGAAGAAATTGCAAAGAGGGCACTGAAGACAGGAAATACCTATCAGTTTATACAGTCCAGCACTGTTACATCTCTCAAATTTTACTGCAAATTATGGGATCTGTTTCACTGCCCCCCAGCTACTTCTTCCCACACTCCTACAAGAGAAACTTTCCCCCTCATAGCTGAGCTGGTGGAAGAAAGGAGACATATTTATTAATCTACAACAGCACAAAGCCACCCACTACATAAACGTTTATGGCAAATGCATTGTTTAACTGTGGGTTATACTAGTGGCGATGGGGTGAATAAATTTCCAGGCAAAATAATGGCAAAGCTAGGCTTTATAAGTGACTCAAAGCCTGTTTTGAGAGTTCACACAGGCAAACAAGAAGAGGATCTTTGCTTTCTGGTAGTCTTGGTGAGTTATATCTACATAATCAGCCTTATCCTCCTTTTTGGGTTTATTATGCTTAAGAAATTGGTTCTTAAGTATGTGGCTGGATTTAAATTGTGTAAATCCAAGCTACTTCTAGTAAGTCACCTTCAAAGAGCTATTATACAGAACACATAATGCCATATTTAGTCATACAATTATCACTATGCTTAGTACAGTCGATTTATCGCAGGAGTTCAGCAAATGAATACAACTAGTGAATTAAAAGCTTACAGTCAGCACACTTAAATGTGAGAACAATCAAAATTAGTAGCTACTCCACTGCTGTCATGACAGATAATCACACCGGCATTTTCAACAGTCAGTCCTGTTGTGTCCATTCAAGCAGAGGAATCACATCCCCAAATGCCTTCCCATTGCAATTTGTGATCTGAAGGAGAGGCACTTCTTGATCACTCACCCACTCACAATCAAGTCCAAGCACTGGCCACTTCTCCAGGTCCTTTTTCAGCAAAGGTTCAACACGATCCCACTCCTCCTGCTCTGAAACTATGACTATGTCTGCACCAAGGGTCCTCTCTACGCAGGAATAAGTGGGAGATCTGAAGAAGGAAAGCACCTCCTTATCCTCTGCCTTCACCAGTTTCTTATTGCCCGAGTTTATAACTGCTTTCTCTTGCCGACTACTACAGCATGCTTTTCCTTTCCGACGCTGGGTTACTTTCCACAAAACCAGGCCCCCCACTGCAACACCCAGCAGGGTCACCAAAGTAATCGTCACTGCTGTTTGCTTGGGCATTTTTTGAATCCCCTTTTTCCCCCCTTCACTTCACCCGCTCAAAACGGCACTGTAGGATTTTATCATGGCCTGCAAAGAAAAAGGAGAGAGGTGGAAATTAAAGACAACTTAATGAAATGTGTTTAGAGGCATTATATACACCCACTGGTATCATACCAAGGTTCTAGCCACAAAGATCTTCACAAAGAAAGGACTGGGTCTCACTTCAGCAGTCAGGGGACAGACTGCTGCAGCGGTGGTCTGGGCAGTAACAGCAGACCGAATACCACCAGAAACCTCGAAGGGAGTACACTCATTTACACTGGTGCAACTAGATGCTTCCACAAACTCTTCCATTTAAAACAAACAAACAAACCAACCAACCAACATGGGGGTATTATCAAGATTTTGTAGCTCAGTCTGGATCCAGATGAATCTAAACAAGAACAAAACACCCCTGCAGAATAAGCATGTCCATTCATTCATTAGTAAAAAACGGGCATTGTCCATTGAAGTCGCATCCATATTAAGGCCAAACGACTCTTCAGGCACTGAAAAGCCCTAAAGAAGCGGCATCTATTCCTAACAGAGATTATGAATAGATGCTGCTTCCATCCTCCACCACAAAATAGCTTAGCTCCCTTTCAGTAAACTGCAACGAATCCTGCCCCTGCATCCCCATCTCCACCGCGTTGTTTTCAAAGGTCCGCCCGTACCCACCCTCGGACACAAGCAGCAGCTGTGGGGTGGGTGCAGCCCCGCGCAGCCCTCACAGCACCTGCCTGGACGCCTGTGAAGTGACAGGTAATTTAACTCTCAGTCCTGAAACCGAGCGACGAGGCCGAAACCGAGACGGGCCACCCGCACCCACGGCCTCTTCCCCCGGCCTGGCCGTCGCTGCCCCTTCGGGAACCGC